ATAGTAATTTATTGCAGACATTAACTATTATAAATACAGTTCTACTTTTTACTTTAACCAAGTACTCGCTTCTTCTTACCGTCTTCCTCTGCACGTACGAGTGTACGTGAAGTTACGAGGCACCGCCTTATTCTGTCATCAGAATAAGTAGCTTGTACTGTCACCAGTACAAGCTTCAGGGTGCCCCGTTACACCTGGTAGCACTTCGTAGTCCGTCCAAGGACCACGTTCACATCTAACATGAATATGTAGGATGATGTAGATGACCAAAGCTTTCACGCTACGCGTGACGGCTACTCCTATTTGAGCAATGTCGAATGGGATGCGGTTGAACGAATGGGTTCGACCATGGGCATCCATGATATTAGCGTCAAGCTAGAGGCTCTCAATAGAGATGCCCAACATCGCCAAGTTCATTCAAAATGAACTTGACGCAGAACGCGAGAAAGTAGCCTTGCTTCACCAACAAGGTTCTCAACAAGCAGAGTTGTTGAGAGAACAGGGTGCTCAACAGTTTGAACTGTTGAGACAGCAGCAGGCTGCTGCTGGTGGGTCGATGCATTCGCGTCGACCCGAGACCTTGAAGATTGACATCTCCAAGTATAGGGGAGTCGAAGAAGACTCCCTCTTGAGATGGTTCGTCGAATTGGATGACGCCATAAGGGCGCGTCGCATCGACGACGGGTATATGCAAGTTGCATTTGCCCAGTCAAATCTGGCAGGACGTGCCAAGACTTGGGCACTGGGGCTCAAGTTGCACGACCCATATGCGTTTGGGTCGTTGAAAGTCTTCAAGTCGCGGCTCAGACAAACGTTTGAACCGCCTAGAGCTGAGTTCAGGGCTCGAACCGAACTCTTGAAGCTCAAGCAGGGTAAGCGTGATGTGCACGCTTACGCTCAACATATACGACATCTCACGAGTTGTATAAGTTCCAATCCGGTGGATGAACACACGTTGGTTTCGGTGTTCATGCAGGGTCTTGCGGATGGTCCCGTCAAGACTCACCTGTTCCGGCTTGAACTAGATTCACTAGAACAAGCCATTTCCATTGCGGAGCAGGAAGACTTCATTCTGAGACAGGCTCGCGCCAGCTCGACATCATATCGTCAACCGAGACGATATGACAACGGAGGTCCAGAGCCGATGGAACTCTGTTATGTAGAGAGCGAGAAGGCTCTCTCTACAGGCTACAAGAAGTTGCAGAAATGCAACAGATGTCAGAAGACAGTACACTACGCTTACGAGTGTAGTGCCCCTCGTCCAGTGTCTCGCGACACTGGGCGTAGTGACCGTCCACCCATGAGAAAGGGGCAGGGACGCGGGTCCGCTGTTGGTGCAAAGACGCAACAACGGGATGGACCGTCAAAAACTGGACAGGATCAGTAGGTGCGGAGCACCCTACTTGTCCAGCAACGTCAAGAGAATTTGTGGGCCTCTTGATGAAGGTTGCTCCCAACACACAAACATTGTGCATTGCTGCTGTAGGTAATGAGATCTCACTCATTACATTGAAACTCGAAGTGACAAATAAGTTGTCCCTTTGAGCTCTAGTCGATTGTGGGGCGTCCAACAATTTTGTGCGACGCCAATCGCTAGAAGATGGTCACTTCAAGTTTGTAGAGTGTGACACACCTCCTACGAGGATGACGGCACGTCTTGCGACAGGCGCATCCGTAACCTTCATAAAGCGTATAGTGAAGATTTACTATACGCTAGAAGATACCCAATATGACGATGACTTTGTCGTAGTGGATTTGGATGACAAATTTGATGTCATCCTTGAATACCGTGGCTCAGAAGGTACGAACCACGGGTTAACTGGCAACATCGAACAGTAACAATGCCTGCCGCTTGTTCATCAGATGGCCATCTGATGAACGTTTTGGAGCGTCCACAAGCGTGTGGATGTACTACGAGTGAGTGCGATGGCCTCACTTGTGGTACGGTCGTTAGTACGACTGCACAAAACCTTAGTGTACCAAACGGTTACACTTCGGAGCAAAGTTCCGGCGGCTGTGAGGAAACACAGGCTGCGCCGAAGGTCCACCACCCGAACAAGTCGGGTGGACTGGGACAAAGATGTATCCCTAGCGGGGAACATCTAGAAGAGAAACAATCGATCGCTCAGGTTAAGCGAAACGATAATCCTAGATCGACTGTAGAGTCTTTCGTAGAGGATCTCGCTGTGGTTGCGCAACCCCAGCTAGAGGAAGTAAAGGGAATAAGCCCCAAGATTACAAATACGGCGGAAATAAGTTCCCCGAAACCCGCGGGAATAAGTCCCCGGGAAGCCCAAGGAATAAGTCCTTCGAAGCCTGAGGAAATAAGTCCCCGGGAAGCCGAAGGAATAAGTCCTTCGAAGCCTGAGGGAATAAGTCCCCAGGAAGTGACAGAGACACTGAATGTAATAGTCAATAACGGATCAAGTGTAGGCGCTTATACACTTGATCTGATTGCGCCTCCGAAGTTAACTTCGGAGATCACTCAGTTGCCAACGCTCGAACATAAAAGGTTCTTGCGTGATCTGCGTAGTGGTAAAGTCAAGCAGATCTGCGTACTCGTCGCTGACGACGAGTGTGTAACCGACGTAAGGTCAGCAACAGTGTTTACTGAGAACGAGAGAGTTCTCAGTAGTTCGTCTATGGACGAGAGTGTCCTAGATGAAAAGACACGAATTGAGCGATATGACTCCCAATCGTGGGAATCGCTCAAGAAAAATCCTCTCTATGAAGATTTGGCTGAATTCAAGGATGTATTCCCTGAAACTGTTCCGTGCAAATTACCGAAGGATAAAGGTATTCGACACGAGGTCGAGCTTAAACCAGGCTCGAAGTACTGTGTCATGAAGCAGTGGCCACTGCCTCGTGAACAAGTACTTGCGATCGACAAGTTCTTTGCCGATCGTTTAGCTGCGGGCCATGTGAGGGAACCAACTTCCCCACATAGCTCTCCGACCTTCTGTGTGCGAAAAGCAACAGGAGGGTGGCGGATAGTGCACGCGTTCAACAAATTGAACGCTGCAACGGTACCGGCTCAGACGCCGATACCGAGGAAGGACGTAATCATTGATGGTATGTCAAAGAGTACCATCTTTTCGTCCATGGATTTGATGGATGGCTTCTATCAAATCCTTATGCGAGAACGGGATATACCCTATACCGCAGTTAGCACGCCTAGCGGCATGCTCTGGGAATGGCTAGTAATGCCACAAGGGCTTAGTAATGCCCCTGCCACGTTCAACAGATGTGTATCACATCTGTTGAGACCAGTACGAGAATTCGCGCCGAGTTATTTCGATGACGTATTCATCCATAGTCGAGCTATGGATGGAAAGTCGGACGTTGAGGTTCACAGGTACCACGTCCGACAGGTTCTTACAATCATGCGAAAGCATCAATCGTATGCAAACCTCAAGAAGTGTATATTTGCAGCAATCGAAATACCACTTCTTGGGTGCATCGTTGGTAAGAACGGTGTACGTCCTGATCCCGAAAAGATCAAGGCGATCACCGACTGGCCTGTGCCGGTTGATGTCAAAGGTCTTCGAAAATTCCTTGGGCTAGCGGCGTATTTGCATAAGTATTCACGCAATTACGCCGAGATGACTGTGCACCTCTCTCGTTTGTTGAAAAAAACGAGTGGTGGTTATGGAACGCTGAATGTCAGCGCTCCTTTGATGGTATCAAGCAGATCTTGATACAGTCCCCAGTCCTCGCAATAGCCGATCAAGGCAGGCCATTTCATGTGGTCTGTGATGCCAGCGATTTCACAATCGGCTGTGCATTAGTGCAGTACGATCTTGAAGGCATTGAACGCGTCGTCTGCTATCAGTCGCGTCAGCTGCAACCAGCTGAGCGGAACTATCCAGTGCATGACAAGGAACTCCTTGCCATGAAGCATGCACTCGCGAAGTTCAGAGTCTATCTATTAGGAGATAGAACCTTCATTGTTTACACTAGACCATGCGTCGTTACGCACGGCAGTGAACAGTCCACATCTCTCGCAACGAATGGCGCGGTGGTTGTCATTCTTTGCAGAATACAACTTTACGGTCGAGTACAAACCAGGACGACTTAATGTCGTCGCTGATGCACTCTCACGTCGTCCCGACTTTGAAACAGTCGCGAAACCCAACAGTGAGACAGTCACTGTTGCGGTTATGACGTCCTCAGTCCCATCTACAACGTTGGATGATGATGTGAGGCGGGCATACGCTCAAGATGGTGAGATTGTGAAGTTGTTGACACATCTCTCCCAACCATCTCGAGAATCGTTGAAACGATTGTCACCTGCGTATCGATCTGCATCAGATCGATACACTACTCGTAACGGTTTACTGTATTATACAGCCGTTTCTGGTGACACACCACGTGTTGTCATTCCAGATGATACTGATCTGCGTTTGCGGATCATGTTCGAGTATCACGATGCTCCTACAGCAGGACATCGTGGCCGGGAGAAAAAATATCTCACGGTGAGTCGAGACTTTTACTGGCCCCGCCAGTATCAGTTTGTGCGAAAGTATGTTCGCGCATGCGAAGTCTGTCTACGAGTGAAGTCAAGTCCTTCACTGCGTGCACCTTTACAGCCTCTACCGGTTCCGGCTGAGTGCTGGGAATCCATCTCAATGTATTTCGTCTTCGGGTTACCCAAAGACGCACGCGGGAATGCGGGTATTCTCGTATTTGTTGACAGATTCAGCAAAATGGCACACCTTGTGGCTGTACCCGAGTCAATAACGGCAAGTGGCTGTGCTTGTGTCTTTATTGACACCATCTTCCGACTTCATGGGTTGACCCGTGAACTCGTATCAGACAGAGATCCACGATCCACTGCTGATTTATGGCGTTCCGTGTTCAAATCACTCGGAACGCGCTTGAAGATGTCGACATCTGATCATCCAGAGTCAGATGGTCAGACGGAACGTGCCAATCGTGTCCTTGAAGAGATACTTTGAGGATACGTACACTCCTTTAAGAGTTGGAGTGAGTTTTTGCCAATGGTAGAGTTTGCCATTAACAACTCGGTGCATGCGTCCACGACACATACACCGTTTTACGTGAATGGCTTGCGCCATCCGCGTGTACCCACCTTACTAGAGTGTAACTCTGGTTTGAGGGGGGGAGAGACTCGCGCGAGCAAAAACCGATTTGTTTCACGCTTATCACGCTCTGACGAAGAGGTCATTGCGATTGATGCCGATATCGATAACATCGATATCGAAGAAGATGATGCCAGTGAGAGTGCGGAAGCCCTCACTGAAGAAAAGGTTGATGTTGCTGCAGTGCGCTCACAGCGCACTGAAGCTAACGAGTCATCAGATGAGTTCATACTGGCTCGTGAAACGGTAGTCCGTTTTGTGCAAGACTCCATCGCCGAAGCGGTGGATAAGCAAAAGCAAAACGCTGACAAGAATGGAAGGGCAAACACTCTTTTATTTAATAAAGGTGACTTAGTCCTACTGTCTACGGTTAATCTACCAAAGCATGTAGTGACTAACTTGGGTAGCAGTAAACTACTACCCAAGTACATCGGCCCATTTCGTGTATTGCACCGCCTAGGCAATGCATACACGATCGAGTTACCACGTAAGATGCGAACGCATCCCACGTTTTACGTTGGTCGGCTTAAGCCGTACCATCAGTACGCTGCTTCTTCCGATGAAGAACGCCCTTGCGCTCAAGCATCTCGCAGAGAGCCTTGTGCTCCCGATGGTGGGCATCAACAAGGGTCTGAAGAGCAGCTATCTCATCCCGAGACCGATCAACAATCCCACGAGCTACCCTTAGCTCGTCACGAAGAGATGTCAGAGATCTCTCGTTCTCAAGCTGAGCAAAGGCAAACTCAGCTCGATGCTTCGAGGCAGTGTCCGCCATTTGGAGACGCCTATTCCGCTCATGTTCGAGATCGTCGCGTAACCCTTGCGTTACGCGATCAAAGAAGCTCTCGGGAACACACGGATCCCCATGATCGTGTGGAGAGCGTCTTTCCTCCTCCTCCACCTCCATTAGAGGACTCTCGCGGTGGCCAGCGCTATCTAGTTGAGCAGCTGTTGAACCACCGCGACGTGAACGGACGTCGGACGAGCTATCTCGTCCGGTGGCGCGGCTATGCCCCGTCCTGGGATACTTGGGAGCCCCGCTTCCAACTGACGATCAACGTACTGGGTCTGGTCGAGCAGTACGACGCGGCACATCCTGTGCCGCAGAAGGACCGCCGGAGAATGTCTTCCCGGCACGGTCGTAAAGGGATTTCAAGTTGTCAATCCCTTCGTACATCTCAATAGACATACGTACGCGCCACCACGGGCTGGTAAGGAGGTAAGCCTCCTTAGGTGCTCGTGCAGAGTTGTTCACACAACATGGGCACGAGTCTCCCCAAGAGAGGCAGGGTAACCCACCCTCCTTAAACAGACGATGCAGCTTGTAGCGTGCACCTCTCGGGGTTCGCTTTTCAAACTTATCACGAGCTTTGATAAGTTTGTCGTTCCAAGCGTCACGACCTACATCCTCAAGGTTATGGGAGTAGGCGTTCCACGCTTGAAGTAGTGAGGGACCATCACGTTTGTGATTCCCACTGTACCATCAATGTCTAAAGAAAGCATCGATGAAGAATTCATGTTCAGCGCGATAGTTTTTCGCACTAGGGTCAAGGTGATGGATCCTTGACGAATCGAACAATCGTATTCGATAGCGATCACTTGTCGTCGCCGACGAGCGATCCATGAATAACTTTGGAGGCAGCCATGCTTTCTTTTCGGGAGCGAGACGCAACACGCTGCAGTCCCGATCTTCCTGCGACGTGCCGACAGAAGTACTGGCACCTCGTTGCGAAATGGTGTCCATAGGAGAACTGACACCACTGTGAGCGCCCGAGTCTTGCGATCTCGAGCGCCTTCGCTTCGGCGATGGTTCATCTGATTCATCAGATGAACCAAAGATGCTACGACGCAAAGCATCGTCCATGCCACGCTTGGCAGGCGGCTTAAATTCAATCGCCGTCGATACGGATCCTTCTTCCGTATCAGGAGAGTACGAGACACCGGGCTCATACTCTGTGAAGACATGAGTGTCTTCATGACCAGCGCTTGCATCACCAAGTGACACAGGCTGGGTCGCTTCAGCAACCGATGAGACATCAGTTGCTGTAGTTTCTGCTTCGGCGTCCGCACAGAGACGTGCGGACGCGCTCTCGGCGGCCTTGCTCGCGCATCGCATGGGCTTGTTAACCATGCGATGAAATGTTGGGAAGTGGACTCGGACCAACAAGTGCAAACCCTGTCCCAAATGATTTGGGACGAGTATCCATTTAGTCAATCAGTCACTAAAGTGACTGATGGTTAAGGGGGGGTGATGTAACGGGGTGAATCGTTACAAAACAATTTATAAGAAATTGTTAATAGAATATAACTATAAGAGTTATATTCTCAGAATATTGTCATAAGGACGAATATTCTGTAGCACTTACGAGTAGTTCCTAATTGATTGATATAGGCCATTATATCAACCAACGAAGACGCGCCACGACAGACGCACGCAATGAGTGGTGAGCAGATAACTGAATTACACATTTGTATTTAGACATAGTTAGATGAAGATAAATAGTGATTTATTGCAGACATTAACTATTATAAATACAGTTCTACTTTTTACTTTAACCAAGTACTCGCTTCTTCTTACCGTCTTCCTCTGCACGTACGAGTGTACGTGAAGTTACGAGGCACCGCCTTATTCTGTCATCAGAATAAGTAGCTTGTACTGTCACCAGTACAAGCTTCAGGGTGCCCCGTTACAGATTGTTTCTGCATCAACTTGTAAATAGACGATCATGACCAACTGATTCTATTATGTCGAGCAAGCGAGCGAGAAGAGTACGAGAAAATGACGGCCTCCGATGTGGCACGACGGAAAGCACAGATGCAAGTGTTTGATCAAAGTGCCAAAAAGGAGAAGCCATTGTCAACGTTCGAGGTCTTATATAAAAGGTTGAGAGCATGACAGGAGAAAATAAAGCGCATTGGACAGGATAGCGAAGGTTGCTAGCATTTCATGCCACTATTGATCTTTGAAAGTAGAAACACAGCACACACATACATCAACTTTTTATACGCAAGCCCTTGTGCTTTGCCTTCATTTGTCAAGCACAGAATAGAAGCAGTTTTTCTCTACGGTTGTTACTTGGAAAGGTTAGGATTAGGGATGTAAGTAGCAAACCAATCAAGCGTTTACATTGATAGTTGACAGTAGGCACAGATCTTTCTCCTCTTACAGGGCTCTCTCATGCTTGACTCACTACTTTACTCTGTCAGAGAGACGTTGCTTCTAGCTTTTACCTACTCATACCGCTTCTATAGACCAAATACAGTCGAAGCTTTCTTTCTTGTTTGGGTTCAAAAGTGCATATTACAAACTGAAACGCAATGGTGCTAAATAGGTATATCCGAGCCAATCTACGTAAAAACCGCTGGTAAAAGAAGTTCGTAAATACTGAACATGTGCATCGTCAAACGGGTGAAAGCAAACAGAATACAGGAGACTCACTCAATCCTGAGTCAGCTCGCGCCCAAAACCATCGCAGGACCCCGAAAAGCTTATCCCAAAATGGAAGGAATGCTAATCCTTTGGCGAGAAGGACGTACTATCATATTCGACATTCTTTCTTCCGGTCCATCGTGTACAACAAAAAAGCTCGATCTGCTGTTGCCCCGACCACTAAATGGATCAACATTAGCCGCGGACGTACCAAACATGGCAACGCGGGATGGCGGAGGGGGCATCGGCATATGTGCCGAAGCCAGCGTCCCCAGCAGAAGATCATATTCCACCGAGTGGTGGTTCACCACATTTCGGCCAAGCGCCATGCGACGGCCTTCCAGACGCAAATCTGCCAAATCTCCGCCGTGGCCACCTAAGAAGTACGAGGCCGTACTGAAATCGCTTGTCGTACTGATCTCGTTCGACAGCGCCTCCGCCAACTTTGCGTCGAGTAGTGCCATTCGTGTCGCAATGTTTGCCAATGCAATAGACGGCTGGATCACCAAAACTCCCTGCGCCTTCATCTCCTTGCTGAACTTGCAGTCCGGCACGAATGCAATCATGCGCGGGTGGGCTGCACCTAGCAACGACTTCAACATCTGCACGTTCTCGCGCGTGCGGTTAGAGTCACCCGTGAAGATGATCACATCTGCCGCTGACATGGCCTGCGTGTTGTCCCGGTTCTTGAGTGTGTTCTTGTACGAGATGAGGTCTCCCTTTGCAGCGCGGTGCAGGATAGCCTCGTTCATCTTTTGCCACTTCGTAGTGCGTTCTTGGTCCAAAATGGGCACGTTGACACGTGCACCGTAGAGTGAGAGTTCGAGAGCAATCTCGAAAGCCACTTCGTCGTCGCCAATGACGACCGCATTATGCACCTGGCAGAATTGAGGTGGCATATTCGAATCTCCATGGTCAATTATCGACAACCTGCTTGGTCTGTTGTTCAGACTGTACCGGACAGATAACTGACTTTGGCGCTTTTTGCTTACGTAGCTGATGTCATCTTCAGACTCGAGATCCTTGCCGTCGGATTGTGTTATACCTTCGTCTTCGTCAGCTAAGCGGTCCTTCAAAGTCTCACCTGCACGACCCAGTCCCATTGCGCACAACACCGGGCCTACGATCTGGTTCACTACCACTGCTGCAACAATCGTGGCTGCAAAGTCGGCTGCCCACGTATCGTCGCTCAACACCTTCACCTCGTTTGCCAGACCAAGCGCCACACCAGCCTGCGGTGTCATTGTCAACCACAAATTGTTGAACTGCCTTGGTGGTAACTTCAGCAAAAAGCGACCTCCGACGTAACAAGCGATAAAGATTGCGAGATACCGCAACAGCACGTACACAGTCATGAGCGGGATAGCATGTACCACTTGATCTAGCTTAAGCGATGCGCCCGTCATGACAAAGAATGGCAAGAACATATATGGTGCTGCCGTGTCCAGGATGACGTGCATGTCGTGTCGAATTGCCGTGTGATGTCCAGCAATGCATGCGGCGACCATGAGCACAAGTAGGGGCTCAAATTTAACTTCCCACGAGAGACCGAAGGCCACATCAGTAGTCTTGGCAACGATGTTGGTCGAAATGTAAAAGATGTACCCCATCGACAACCAAATGAACCCTTTCAAGCAGAGCGAAGTCTGAGGGGTCAAAAAAGACGAGGAGCGATCATCGGCACTTCCACCGTTGTCGGCATTTCCTGCGCCACAATTGGCTGCCTGTGGTGTTCTGTCCTCAACGTATGAGGCTTTGGGATCAGTTTTTGGGTCGCAGTACATTGAAGCGCTCGGGCTTTCGTTAAACCCATCGTGGTCGTTCGTAGGATGGTCGTGTTCGTGATGCTCACCTCCCGGAATCTGGAATATGGCGAACGTAAGTCCTGCCAACACGATGCCGACTAACACGTTTGACATGACAACGCTCAGTGTGAACATGAGGTTGACCACAGAAACTTGTAGGTCAGCACAGTATATGGAACACACGATACGTGAGACCGAGTAGGACACGAGCACGACAAACTCAGCGATCATGGTCGCCCCCAGCATGAGATTTGTGAAAGGACCCACGCTGTCGAGCTCGATCTTGATCGCCATCACCGTTGCTGGCGACCCCAGCACGGAAATGGACCCAAACATGAGTGCAATCCCCAATTGGCAGTTGAAGATCAGGTCGTTGTAGAAGAAAGCACTCTCTGTAATCAGTACCGCTGACGTGAGAATGATCATTGCCGTCATGTACAGCGCACCGAGAAGGATCATGATGGACTTGAGCTGGGGTTGTAGTTCCGGCCAGTAGATTTCTTGGCCTGCTTGGAACGAAATGAACGACAGCGCCAGCGCACTCACGTAGTTCGAGAGCATTTCCACCAGCCCTTCGGTGAGCAAATTGGCAACGAACGGACCCGCGATGATCCCGATCACGAGGTAGCCCGTAATAAGCGGGAGCTTGAAGTACCTGGGGAACAACACACCAAGCGGATGGGCAGCCACGAGTACAATGACAAAGGCGAGTCCATAGCGAAGCGTTTCAATGCAGTTGTTCCACGAGTTGAAGGGCACGGTTTGATCCTCATTGCCTGATGCACCGCTCAGTCGACGCCCGAGGTCATTATTCGATGGTGCTGGCTGCCCCGATACGACGCTGAACGAAGCAGCAACAGCCGCCAGGAGCACGAGCACTTCCGCAGTTGATCGAGGGGGTGAGGGCAACCACGAGACTCGCTCGTGATGTGCACGCATTGGTTCGCGAATTTGAAGGAGGAAAAGTGTGGGGTGGGTGGGTGGTGGAAGAAACCAACGATTGTTTGCAATGAGGCGTTAAAGGCAAATGCAAGAATGACTCGTAACGGGCACTGATGGTCTCGTTGGGGCGGCTTCGGCGGGGCTGTCCTAAGGTGTCTCACCATTGAGTCTGACGGTTCCCGTGGCGCCGTACAGCGCCCTTTAGCTACGCAATGTGCTGAACACTTGGGCTCTTCTATTTCCCGTACCTCTTCCCAGGGAGCTGTTGCTATCGTCAATTGACATTTCGCTCCTTGTCCCAGATTACAACAAACGCGTGCAACAGTGAAAGGCTCGGCTTTGCACGAGGAGGCACGGTCTCCCTGCTGTACCGTCTGAAGCCGCTATCGAGAAGTGCTTTTTTGAGACAAGTAAAGAAGGTGTGAGTTGAAACATGCACGAGTCATTTTGTTTACATTCATGAGCATTTTCGACTTTTCTTTTAATACATCCTAGACCGTGCCAACTATCCGTTGGGGTTGATTCTTGGAGGGCTAACGGTGGTGAAGTGAACCGGCAGGCCCTTCGGTCGACAGTGAAGGCTGTATAAAGCACCAAGAGTACGGTGTTCGCCAAGGCTTCGACGTTTCGTCCTCCGCGCAAGGTTTCATGATACAAACCGCGTTTCTCTCTGCTGTAGCGAGTGAAGTACGGAGTTCGAGATACTAATGACCACGACCGGCCCATGGCCTTGCAAGATGTAACACTTCAAAGGTGCCTGTTGCTACAAGCCCATGATCGGGCTTGACAAACGAGCACCCGAAGAAAGTGTAGGTTGGCTTTTCCATTGAGCGAAGGCTGCACTTTCCCACCACCATCAATGTATTGACAAGACCATGCTACTAGAGCCGCAGAGCACAACGCGAAAAAGAGCGATATTGATGGCAAGGTTGTCCAGGTGCATTTGGCTGAAGCTCTTTTACGGGAACGTACGATTGTGCAAGCTTGATTGTTCGAAGGTACACTGAGCAAGTAAGGCATGGATTTCTTGCCAAAGGCGAGTCTAAGTAATCGAGCAAAGTCAACTTCGGGTGTTACAACGATGCTGTCCACAATTCCCTAGGGCTGTTCGTCTCTCTATTTGCTGTACGTTGCATAACCCAGTAGTTACGTCAGTGCTGACCAAGCAATGTATCAGTAGTACCCATACCCATGCTCCGTGAAGACAGTCGATCTAGGACGCTATCTCTTTGTTGACGGATAGACAAATGATGTCGGGTGAACGTGTTGACGCCAAATCCAACCACGGCCATTAGCACTCCGGCTTGATAAAGTGGCCGTTCGCTTAACCACTGTTGTCCATACAAGCATGAAACCTGATGGAAAGCCGGCACGGTGAAGGATGGGGTCACACAAAAAATGCCGAAATTAAAATGCGTCTTTAGGCAAAAAATGGTGGGGTATGTAAAGTCTCCCGAAAGAATGTCCACATGATCGGACGTGCCGATGGGGACCAAGCACGAATGTGTGGGTATGTGCGTGTGTGGGTGTTTTCTGTGATGTTTCTTACCAGAAACGCTGAGCTCGCGCTGAAAAAGGTGCAAAGTAATGAACAATCGTGTGGACATTGAGGTTCGCCTAGGACTAAGGCTTGTGGGTATATCACTAAGCTAACTGCTAGAAGCGTTCCTGTGGCAATTGCCTCAAACGTACTAGTACCGTGCCAGACGTTATCCCAACAAATAAGCCCAAAGGTGGTTCACGTAGTGGTTAGTGTCTTCTAAACAGCAACAGTCAGGCTTCTCATCATTCGGTCAGCGTCCATTCCACTGAGCTCAATACCGGGGCTTATTAGAGCCAGGAGTGCGTTTGCCACGAGCAACATTGCCCCCTCGCACACGACTTGCTCCGAGTTGAGCTGAAGGTCGCTGGACACTTAGCCTCGAATTGCCACGTGTCGTGTAAGATCCAGTGTGTGTATCCAAGACAATCTCGTCGGCTTCATCGTGGTCCTCGTGCATTACGAAAAAACCAGATCTCGTGTCGCGCTGGAACGGGTCGAAGCCGGAAGCTGACGAAGTACCAAACATTGCTACACGCGATGGTGGGGGCGGCATCGGTAAGTTCTCGCTTGTAAGAGCCTCAGCAAGACGATCGTAGTCCACCGAGTGGTGGTTCACCACATTTCGGCCAAGCGCCATGCGACGGCCTTCCAGACGCAAATCTGCCAAATCTCCGCCGTGGCCACCTAAGAAGTACGAGGCCGTACTGAAATCGCTTGTTGTACTGATCTCGTTCGACAGCGCCTCCGCCAACTTTGCGTCGAGTAGTGCCATTCGTGTCGCAATGTTTGCCAATGCAATAGACGGCTGGATCACCAAAACTCCCTGCGCCTTCATCTCCTTGCTGAACTTGCAGTCCGGCACGAATGCAATCATGCGCGGGTGTGCTGCGCCCAGCAACGACTTCAACATCTGCACGTTCTCGCGCGTGCGGTTAGAGTCACCCGTGAAGATGATCACATCTGCCGCTGACATGGCTTGCGCATTCTCCCGGTCCTTGAGTGTGTTCTTGTATGAGATGAGGTCTCCTTTTGCAGCGCGGTGCAGAATTGCCTCATTCATCTTTTGCCACTTCGTAGTGCGTTCTTGGTCCAAGAGAGGCACGTTGACCCGCGCACCGTAGAGCGAGAGTTCGAGAGCAATCTCAAAAGCCACTTCGTCATCGCCAATGACAACCGCATTTTGCACTTTGGTAAAGGGCAGAAGCGATCGAGGGTCTCCATTGCACCTGGTCGTACCCGACATCGTGATCCGACCCATATCGTACAAACTGCCTCTTGCAAACCCGCCGCCGTGAATGCTGTTGCCGAAGCCACCACCCTGCACCACGCTGTTACCGAAGCCAGCATTAACATGAACGATGCTGGAGCGACCACCGTGGAAACTCTTCTCCATATGGTCCATATCCTCTTTGGGCGCATCAGCCTGAGTCAGCATGCGGTCTTTCAGCGTTTCGCCTGCACGACTCAAGCCCATTGCACACAGTGGCGGACCGATGATCTGGTTCACCACGACAGCAGCCACAATCGTTGCCGCGAACTCCATTGCCCACGATTCATCACTCATGGCTTTCACCTCGTTGGCTAACCCCAACGCTACGCCAGCCTGTGGGGTCATCGTTAGCCACAAGTTGTTGTACTGCATCGGCGTGAGCTTGAGGATATAGCGGCCACCGAAGTAGCAAGCGATGAAGATTGCGATATAGCGCAGCACGACATACACAGTCATGAGTGGAACGGCTGCCAGCACTTGATCCAGCTTCAGTGCTGCTCCGGTCATGACAAAGAACGGCAAGAACATGTATGGTGCGGTCGTGTCGAGGATCACGTGCATGTCGTGACGGATAGGCTCGTAGTGTCCAGCGACACACGACGCAATCATGAGCACAAGGAGCGCTTCGAACTTGATTTCCCATGATAGCCCAAATGCTGCTGCAGTGGCTTCTGCGAGGACGGAGGTTGAGACGTAGAACATGTACCCCATGGTCAGCCAAATGAAACCCTTCAACCCCAGCGAAGCCTGCGGAGACAAAAAGGCAGGCGAAGGTGTGTGGCGAAGTTCCTCCATCGTACAATCGCCGGCCCTATCGCTCGGTCCCGGCTCCATGTTCGGGTTCAAATGAGCTCCTTTGGCATCCGTTCTCTGGTCGAGATACGACGCGTCACTAGGTCCTGCTGTTACTTGGCCTTCCTGATGCTCACCATGGCCATCGTGATGCGCCTCGCCTCCAGGAATCTTGAAGATCAGGATAATCACGCCGCCCAGAAGAACTCCGACCAAGATGTTGGACCCCACGATACCCATGATAAACATGAGGTTCAGAAATGACACGTCGAGCTTCGCACAGTAGGTGGAGCAGATAATGCGGGCAATGGAGAACGAGATGAGCACGATAAACTCAGCTGTCATGGTCGCCCCGAGCATCAGACTCGTAAAGGGACCGGCACTGTTGAGCTCAATCTTGATGGCCATGACCGTTGCTGGTGATCCCAGGACCGAGATGGACCCGAACATCAGCGCAATGCCCAATTGACACAGCATGCCCATGTCATCGTAGAAGAAGAAACTCTCGGTAAGCATAGTGGCCGATGTGAGGATGATCATGGCAGTCACGTACAAGACACCGAGCAGAGCCATGATCGACTTGACTTGGGGTTTCAGTTCCGGCCAGTAGATTTCCTGACCGGCCTGGAATGAGATGAATGACAGTGCGAGAGCACTCACGTAGCTCGCGAGCAACGACACCATCTCTTGTGTGATCAGGTTAGCGATGAAAGGACCCGCAATGATCCCGATGAAGAGGTAGCCCGTAATGAGCGGTAGCTTGAACAGCCTGGGAAAGTACAGTCCAAGAGGGTGGGCCGCCACGAGTACGATAACGAAGGCCAGGACGTACTTCAGCGTATCGATCGTGTTGCCCCACGAGTTAAAGGGCACGGTCTTGTTCTTGTCCTTGCCACCGCCTCCACTGAGTCGACGTGTCACCTCATCGTTGTCACCGATTTCGTCCCGTAGCACTGGAAAAGCTGTTACAGCCGGCAAGGATGTGGCAACGAAGAGTGTGAGCGCAAGCAAGAGCAGAGTCGAGTGCGGTGAGATAAGCGGACGCCTCGCGAGGACGGAATCGAGCATTTCGTATATCGGTGGCAATGGTGTCCTCCTGGCACGAAGTCGTCTGCTCACGGAAGGAGATTGTAGACTGAAGGAGTTGCGCTGCGGTGCAGTCCATTTTTAGCGCAACGTTGTCAGGCCACGAAGGCTCAAGCAGTTGGCAATGTTTAACATGCTGCGTGCTCTACGTGAAAATGTCGTGGCGTAACGGCTGGCCGCTCATCGTTCGCCCGTGCTCTTCAGCCGCTGGCTGCCTCAGGAAGCTGCATTAACGCGCATGTGTTCGACTCATGAAGCTTTAACCCTGCTCTTTTTGCAAGAATCGTTAGACCGACACCATCCGTTTTAAGACAATTGGTTTCACAACAACATCCGTTGCGGGGATGCAAGCGATGCAACGTCCGTTCATGATTGTGATTACCTCTTCTTGATAAAAAGCTGGCCGACGATATCGTGGCCACGGGAAGGAAGTTCACATCTGACCGCGGTCAAGTATCGGCTTTCTCTCTATGTTCTACATAGGATCAGTGTCAACTAAGGAGCTTCGTCACGCTGAACTGTACGGGGTGCAAAGTATTCACGAAATCCAGACTAAGCATCGCGATGCAGCTCGAAAGATGGCACTCCGACAGGCGAGACACGTTGCATTAATTGCGTATACGTTCGAGGACTTTGTGCAAGAGAGCTCCCAAGCTGAGTGTATCACAGTCCGCATTACGGCGGTTAGTAGCGGCACCCCCGCAGGTGTCCTATCTTTTCTTTTATTGGGATTGAATTAGCACAAAGTCTGCTATTTGCTTTCTGGTCTGCGGCTCCGTCCTGGTTCGACTTAGACTTGTCCACGGTGCGGCGGGGTCGCATTGCTGGGACGAGATAGAGTGACTGGGTCTCTTAGGAAGGTCGGGTCCAACTGCAGCAGGGACACGACGGGATTTGTTGTTCTTTTATAACGCAACCACCTGAGCTGGTTACGAATACTGACGTAGAGAATTTACTCTAGGCTTAACGACTCTGACTACGCAACATCGTGTCTGCGCCCATCCCCGATGCTATCGGTACGTTTGGATATGAACCGCGACGCGAATGTATCTATTCGAAAGACGGTTTCTCGTTTAATGGTCGAGCTCCACATACGACATCTTGTTTTGGCATTGAAACCAATGTTACAGCCTTTATGTACTATTGTCAGCGCCTGCCTCTAGTATGGGATCGTGTTTCAACGCGCTGCAACGTTTACGCTCGACCACTCCATATCTACTGACGAGTCAACATTATGGCATGGCAATGGTGGTCGTGCATCACCGGCACGTCACAGTGTTACAGACCCTGGCTCATCTGTTTTGGACTTATCTAAGGTCCGCGCGGGTCGGAGTAAACTTCTCATGGCAAGAGTAACAGCAGTGCATCTGCGAGTCACTTCTTGCGCATATTTCAGGCTCCAGAAGTGATGCCGCACCAGAGGCACAGACTGCTTTCCGATTCTAAGACAATTTTGAGGTAGGTGTATAAATGTAGTATGAAAATGGATTCGGTCGATTACGTGTATCATTTACTCAGGTCACTCACGGAGTGAGGGTAGTGATCCTGTCTTTTGAGAGTGCAAACCACAGCACATCAACGCGTCTTACAGCCTTCGGAGATTGGAACAGGTCGCCTAACAGCGCTAGTGAACGCAAACATTGAGGAAATAGTACATATTCTGTCGGGATTTGTCACACACTCGGATCGCTTCTGTAGAATGTCACGACTTATGACGGTGATGTGCGTGTCGTGAAAAGGGCAACTTGCATGGACAGTGGTCTCCGAACTATCTGGATTGAGTTGATTAGTTTATGAGGTGATTTATATATTCATTTTAGCAGTAGTTTTAACTCTTAATACTACTTTCCATTTTGCAGCACAGAGAAGTAGTTAAGCTTTTGTTACAGGTTATGAGCCCAAATACGTTGGCTCCCAATGACATCCTCACGGATGACAATTACTTTATGTGGGAATTCAATGCACGCATGGCACTCGCGCGCAAGGATCTTTTGGATCACGTTTTAGTTGAGACAGAGCCGGCAGTGCTACGGGAGAATCCCGGATGGAAAGTCGCCGATATGAAGGCTCTGGCTGTGCTGGTAAAGCTGCTCTCTCCAACCTATCAGTGTGTAATTTAAGAACGTGAGTCTGCTATTGAGGCCTGGGAGGTGTTGAAGACGTTCTTTGCGAAGAGGAATCTTCAGAACCGAGTGCAACTTCGAAAGGAACTCCATAAGTTTGTGATGGAGACTGGTACTAATCTGATTGATCATCTACTGAAGTTTTATGAGCTGTGTCTAAAGCTCAGGGCGGCCGGTGACAGCATGGATGATGATGAGAAGCTGATTTTTCTTCTGGGAAGTTTATCATCTGAATACGATGATATGGTGCGCATTATCGAGGCACACAGTAACGTGACGCTGCGGGACGAGAAAGAAATGCTCCGTCGTGAGTATGACACTCTTCAGAAGCGAGACAAGAAGGAAACCGCTTATAAGGCGCATGCTCAGCGCAATGAACCTAGACGTTTTAATGGGAACCGAGGACACCGTGGGCAAACAGAAAATCAAATCCGCTACCCAAGTTCGAGAAGAGGAAAGGCTAATGCAAGTTTTCAAGGCAAGTGCTTTAGATGTGGACGGCACGGACACAAACGATCGCAGTGTCGTAACGTGAAGCCATCGAGACCTGGTGATGAGTTTGTTTTCTCGGCATCCAGTGACAAAACAATTTCGAGTTCGACTTGGTTGCTGGATAGTGGTGCAAGTCGTCATATGACTGATGACAAACGTGAATTTGTGGAGTACGAAGATTTAATTACCCCAATTTGCATTACTGTGGCGAATGGACAGCAGTTGAAGGCACAAGGAACAGGCACTGTGCGATTTGTACTCGAAAATGGTCGCACAGTCAAGCTTACGGAGGTGTTACATGTGCCTGGTCTAGACATGAAACTTGTGTCGGTAACAGCACTGACGGCCCGAGGCGTAATTGTTCAGTTTAAGCACGATCAAGCAGTTCTTATGAGCGATTACATGACTGTAGCAGTGATTAAAAGAGTGGGAAAGCTGTTTGCGTGAAATGTGAAACATCATGTCACATTTGAGGCACACAAGGCTGATAGCAGTGTTGTTTTCGATGACACTAGTGGACTATGGCATGCTCGCCTGGGTCATGTTTCTGAAACCAAGATCATGCAAGCGATGAAGTCTTGCGGTGGCACCCCGAAAGTTGATGCACCGGATGGCGATGTATGCGATGGATGTGCACGCGGGAAAATGACAAACAGCCCGTTCAGTCATACTTCAGGAAGTGAAGTTAAGGCAAGCCGACCACTCGAGATCGTGCATACCGATCTTATGGGTCCTATGAACCCAAAGTCGAAGGGTGGGGCTCTTTACGTACTCACATTTATTGACGACTACAGCCGATTTGTCTACGTATACTTGCTAGCAGCAAAGTCACAAGTTTTCGAACGATTCAAGGCGTTTCGTGCTATGGTGGAGACGCAAACGGATTGCAATATTAAGTGCATTCGCAGTGACAATGGTGGGGAGTATACAAATCATCGGTTTAACAAGTACTGTGGTGATCTTGGTATTATTCACCGAACAAGCGTGCCGTACACTCCTCAACAGAACAATTTAGCGGAGCGGATGAATCGAACCCTTGTTGAGATGGCCCGCGCGATGATATATCACAGGGAAGTTGATCGTACGTGGTGGGGTGAGGCTATTATGGCGGCTGCGTACACAATCAATCGGATTCCGAATACTGCACGACCTAACACAAGTCCATTCGAAACGCTGCATGGTTCGAAGCCAGACCTGAGCCATTTTCGTGTTTTTGGTTCAACTGGATATCTACGAGTCGCGGATTGTAAGCGCACAAAATGGGACAGCAAGGCCAACAAGTGCATATTTCTCGGGTATTCGGAAACGTCAAAGGCATACCGAGTGTGGGATCTGGATAGACAACAATTGGTCATGACTAGGTCCGTTAATTTAAATGAGCGACCTCCTTCACGGTACAAAGATGTCATTGTTCTACGTGACCCTATTTCTCACTGCAAGAACTCTCATGATGAATGCGACGAAATGGAGGTGGCCGTACTTTACTCGAAAAAGATTGGAGAGGTTGCGGATATGGACATTGATGAGACTGCTGACAATGAACAAAGTTGGGAAGATATGGTTGTGGATGCGTCTGGAGATTTCAATCTGTCACATGTTTTAGCTGTTGTTCCGATTGAGGGGGAGTGCACGGATATGCAAGTCATTGCCACAAACGATTCAATGAAAGGTCGCACACCACTCGAACCGGTTGCTAGAGGTGGCGATAATCATACGCACATGTTTCAAGGTTCACCAGATCAGTCGCAAGCTATTGTACTGTGTGACGAACCCCCTTCCCAAGGTGACCGACTGGAGATATACTCGGGGTCTAACAAAAGGCCTTATAGTACACCAACTCGTCTGCTTACTCATGATGGTTTTGACGATGAGAAGATTATTTTACCGCTTCTGGCTGATGGATCGCCGGTAGACAGCGAACACGATGAGCCAGACCACAAACGTCAATGTGGTGACGGTTACGAAATTTCGCTTTCTGCTACTGATGTACCGATGAATTTACGAGAGGCGCTGCAGTCAATCGACGCGAAACAATGGAAAGCAGCGATTAAAGCAGAATTTTTTAAAGCCCATATAAAGAACCACACATGGGACGCTGTCTATCGTTCTCCAGGTGTCAAGGTCATTGGTCACAAGTGGGTATTTGGGCACAAATATGACGAAAAAGGTAATATTGTTCGTTACAAAGCGCGTTTGGTTGCCTTCGGATATCTACAAACGCATGGTTTTGATTATTTCGACACATATTCACCTGTCGCGTGCTCAAACACGATTCGTGTGTTCTTGTCGGTTTGTTGCAGTATGCAATGTGTGATTCGGCAATTTGACGTGGAAACGGCGTGTTAAAATGGTGATTTGGAAGAAGAAGTCTACATGGAGCCACCCGTTGGAGTCGAAATTGCACCTGGAATGGTGTGCAAACTACGCCGCAGTTTAAAAGGATTTAAACAAGCAGCAGCGGTTTGGCACAAGAAAATATGCTTTGTGTTTTCTGCCATGGGCTTCGAACAATGTCGAGCAGACACATGTCTTTTTGTCCGACGCAATCATACAAACAATCAGTCACACACATACATAGTCTTGTATGTGGACGACCTCCTGATTGGATGCAAGTCAGATGCAGAGGCTGACACGATTTTCAAGGAACTTTCAGAGCATTTTACTGTGAAATCACTTGGAGCTGCGCGATTTATATTGGGCATGGAGGTAAACTACTCAAAAGAAAAGGGAGAATTGGCGCTAAGACAGACCCAATTTATTCTGAAGTTGGTCTCGAAGTTTGATCAAAATGGAGCTTACGCAGTACGCAACCCTATCTGCGCAGGCCAGGACTTAACTCTGGATGAATCACACCCAGTGCTGAAGGACATCACTTCGTATCGCAATTTGGTCGGTTCGCTGCTGTATATTGCGAACGCAACGCGACCGGACATAAGTTACGCGATGTCAGTGCTATCGCAGTACTTGGATCAGCCACGCCAGATGCACTGGCGTGCGGCTCTACGCGTCTTGCACTATCTTGGGAACACTATCGTATGGAATTGCGTACAAGAAATCAGACGAAAATAAGATGATGCTTCGGGTATACTGTGATGCGAATTGGGCCAACGATAAGAAGACTCGTCGATCTACGTCTGGTGTTTTGATTCTGCTCGGAGGTGCAGTTGTGGTTTATAAAAACAAACGCGGTGGCTTTATCCTCTGCTGAAGCAGAATATATGGCATTGGCACTAGCTAAGCAAGAAGTGATGTGGATTCGTTATTTGCTGAAGGAGATGGGTGTGATGTATAAGACTGCGACAACGGTTCACATGGACAACAAGTCAGCGATTAGTATCGCGACGAATTAAGGATACACACCAAGAGCTAAACATATCGACCTCAGGGTGCAAATTTTGTGCGAGATCACATTGAGCAAGGTGAGATTCAGCTGAAACATGTTCCGTCAGCTATGCAACTTGCGGATTACCTGACAAAGTCACTTGGTGCACCGCAATTAATGCGACTACGCGATGAAAGTGAAATTAGCGAGAGTGCAAGTTGAAGGGGAATGTAGAAGGTCACGAATTATGACGGTGATGTGCGTGTCGTGAAAAGGGCAACTTGCATGGACAGTGGTCTCCGAACTATCTGGATTGAGTTGATTAGTTTATGAGGTGATTTATATATTCATTTTAGCAGTAGTTTTAACTCTTAATACTACTTTCCATTTTGCAGCACAGAGAAGTAATTGAGCTTTTGTTGCAGCTTCTATCTACCTCAGTACCCTGGAAAACCTCGGCTGCGACAGACAACTGCCACGATCCGGCGTTTTTCTTGGCTCAGACGTTTTCAGGCATTCTGTAAATAATTGCATTGCAACAGACCGTCATGAAATCTCTCTCTCCCTCGCATCCTGCCGGGACACTGTGTCGACGGAATACAAACTGGCCATCGTGTTCTCTAGCTGTCTATTTGAAAAAAGAGAAACAGATTATTTGCTAGGGAGCCGGTTTGCAAGATGTTTGAAAATGTCCATGGCCATGCGATTACTATAGGAAATGATCCTTGTCGTCTACAGGGGCTTTGTCACGCCGGATGCTCACTTGTAATGGTTTCTGGGAACACTTATGTTGCGAAACGTCAGTCGATGCCATATCCCCATCCTGCCCTGCTGCAGTTCATTGATTACGAGTCTCCAAGGTTGTCGAAGGATAGCTTGTCGGACTCTGCTACTTCTTCATCTTCAAATACAAATGGTCAAGCAACGTTTCTGTAGGCAGAAGTCACCACCGTGTGCAGCGTCAGGGTATTTTGAAAACATTTATGAGGAAACTCCGTGCTGTAGCAAAGCGGGAGTGCTGGAGGGCCGATACAGAAGTACAAGGAGCACATCCAATAGTGTGCCGAAGCGTTTTGTCCAAAAGTTCAGAGAGCCGTCATCTAATTTGACACGACCTGTTTAACTACCGGAATTGCTCAGCCGACTAGCGTTACATTTGTCCAACAATCTTGAATCCGATTGACAGATCAATACATTCGTCTGCGTCTCTAAAACGATAAGCTTTGTGATGGATTTGCTACCGATGTCCCGGCATAAAGGTAACCCTTTGCGCAACAAAAAAGAGGAACATTTGATAAGGTGACACGGTTTGAAAATTTGACCAGAACGTGACACGGTTTGTTCAAAACGCTCGTGCAAGAATCGGTACGGTGTAAATTGCACGTACTTTACGAAGTTGGAATCGAAGATTCATCTTAATTTTATGATTTTTAATAGTATTCGTCTAAGTACAATTTAAAAGTTCGGCATTCAACCTTGCGCACACTCATTCATAGCTGCGACCTTCGTTCGGGCTCGCAATGACATGCTTTTTTCAAATTGACAAGCGATTGAAAAAACACGGCAAAATAAAGCATTATGGAGTAACGTTTTGCCAAGATGGACTCCAAGACGTCATATGACGAGCGCACGGCTCTATACGTGCAGGAGAAGGAGATCGAGCAAAACATCGATGGACGGACGGACACTATATCGCTGTGTCAATGATTTCATGTCGATCGTTCTACTGAGTCCGTACGTTGCGGAGTAATATCTACGATGGGCCGTAGCGGACCCTGTTTTAGTGTCGCTTTTTACACATTCTTACAGACACTTTATTTTAACATCGCTTTTTTGGACCAATGTGTAGCACGTGAAAACCAAATGGAACAGTTTTACCGGGACGGCCAAGAAGACGAGTGCAGGTTCAGATTAACATACGTGTACATGTGCTTTCGATCAAGCGTGATCGACGAAAAAAGCGGCAGCAATTTCTCCAGGGCACACCACTAGATGTGTTCAAGGGCCACACGTTACGGACGTGTGGGAGTCAAAAGAGACGACCGACTGGTAGATGGACCTGCCGGTCGTCTCTTAGCAGCATTTACCCGCTTGAATCGCAGATACTTGTGTACTTACTTCCCTACTTACTTACTTGCTTACTCGTCAACTTACATTCAAGTTTTCGACTAGTTCCTCGCTTGCACAGCTCTCCAATGGACTTTTTAGTGCTGCGATTTGCTACAGGCGAGCTGGAACCCACAGCGATAGGCCCATGTCTGAATCGTATGCTCGGCGTTTTTACCCATTGTCCTTGCTGAGGAGGGCAAACGGGTGCATAGGCAAGACTGTCATTTTCGGAATAGACGTCGGGCAGAAGAAACATGAGAAAAGGGACAAGTCACGTCAATTGAATACGAAACAAGGTAATTGTTATCGTCATACATAGGGAGGATCACGTGCACATACAAGCGAAATAGCGTTTTCAGAACTAGCCGACATGGTAGAATCGGTTTAAAAAAGCGTAAAAGATGACGGATGTTTAGTACAAGTTGTACGTGGCGACTAGGGCCGCTGGCGACTCAGGTGACGCGCTTATAAAATTAGAAATTTGCGTGTCTGATATACGATGTTCACGTGGGACGGGGAAAATAGGGGGAAGGAATATCATCGATAGATACACCCCACTTCACACTAAATACACCCCATCCACCTCACCCCTGCTACACCACAATGTGGTTTTGTACAACGGATATTGCACCTAACTACTCCTGTACGATCGCGTTAGCACAATAATCTGCATCTGTCGTGCAAATGGTCAGCGATTTTACCAGTCCGTCTCTTATCTGCGAATTATCCATAGCGTTGGTCACAAATCATCATAAAACACGCATACAGCCCTCAGTCCTCGTCATCCGCTTCGGTAGCAGAATTCATATCTATACTAGAAAGCAGAAATAAACGAAATTGCAAGGAAAAACAAGCAATCGCGTGTTTGTAGCATCTTGCAGGGCTAATATTACGACGTCAGATTGTCGCATCTTGTTCTGGATATCCAAATAGTGACCGCATTGCTCGTTCGGACATTAAAATGTATAGAATGAATACAAGATACGTGTTGAGACCCAGGTAAAAAAAGGGACATTACACACCAAATCGGACGAGCGGATACGTGTCATGCTGCTGGACGATCATTCAATTTTGACCGACTAGGATCAGGTCTAAAGCAGACCAAGGATAGGCTCGATCAAACATACATGTAGCTGTTTGATACCATTTATCGTTCTTGGCGCTTATATTTTCGCTGCGACGTATGTATCCGATTACGTTTGGTAGAACGTGAACTTTTGATTCATCCATTTTTGAGCCTTACTCGACTATATGGCTGTTGTCATTTCTCTAAAGCAGAATAGCCATTTAATTGTATCGGACATGTAGTGACAAGGGCGTCGTGATCGTTATTCGATTCGTTTACGAAGGAAAGAACTTCAATCGTCTATTGTGTGCTAGAAAGTTTGCTTGAGAAGTCACCTACTGTGTACGACAGATGGAAATTGTTGTGCGATAGTGTTCGTTTAGAGGTAGGTAGGCGCGAAATCGTCGTACATAACATATTGCGGTGTTGCACGGGTGTGGTGTATGGGGTGTTTTTGTTGATGTGCGCACTGTCAATGCACGGTAAAAAAGCAAACTGTGATTTGCTACGCACAAGTGGCAAGACAGTGATGGAACGGCAGGGTGTAAACGGTTCACGTGAGGCTTGATGATTCTAGAACTACCTTGAGTGTATATTCTAGAATCCATTAAGATCAGGGAAAGCTACAAGGCAGGAGAGGAGAACACAACGAGTAAGTTCATAGGAAGACTGATTCAATACACTTCCAATTTCCCTTTGATGCATCAATTTTTAGTCAAAAGAGGTGTATTTAACGATGCACTTCCTTTAACACAAAATGAAATAGTGCTATATCAGCTGGAAATCAGGATATTGTCCAAAAAGCATAATATTAAATAAATCAGGATATTGTAACAGTAGGAATTAATCAGTATGTTAATTTTTTTAAAACTCAGTAATTAGAAGAAATCTTACACCTTAAGATTGAGATGAAAAAAGTATTCGGTACTAGCCACACGCACTTCCCGGTATGGCCACGCCACGATATGCAATAAGAAAACCCCTCCATGTGGTGTATCCACACACTTCTAGTGTCGAACAGTTGGGCTAGATATAAACATTAGATCCTGTCTACTTTAATGATGCTTTCGTTAATAACCTGTTTTAATCAATGTGTGCGGCCCAGTCCCAAGCAGGGGCCGTTCATTGATAACCCTCTGGACGTAAGTGAGTGATACTCCACGGGCAGCCCAAAAACGATCGTAATTGATAATCCACTATTACAGACACAAATTTGGATCGAATCATCTATATTTGGACCGCCGAACATTTAAAAATACTAAGAAACTAGCTTCTGAATGAGCTTGCTAGTCCTCATAATACTGATCTTGTTCTTGGCTGTCTGGATGGTAGCAAGCGTATTATAGTAAACGATTTCCTTATGCATCCAGAACTGATGCAACAAGTTCGGACACTGAAGTGCCTCACTTTTCTTCACAGGAATGGATTCTTGACTATCGTGGACCTCCGCCTCATCGTCCGGCACAGAATCTGAAGAGAGTACCGTGAAGTTTTTTTCACGAGTCGGAACATAATGAACTTTGCGCTAAGATGGATAGTTGATGGGGTTACAAATAGCCAAGTGTGCTCCGGTAGCGAAGCTCTTAAATCTTCTCTTTGAGTTTCTTGATCACGTTGGATGCGATGAGCGACTCTTTAGGACAAGTCTCATGTCAGCATCGGTGGTGCAAATTCGGCAGTGGCGAAAGCATTCGCGGATTGTTTCTGACTACACATATATGGTTCAGGCTACAACAGCATTATGTGTAACTTCGATTACGCCCATATTCTCGAGGATGAACAAGAAGTCGATTGAAACAGCGCGGATGGTAAGTCTTCAGGATACGAGTCATAAATGCGTTGATAGGTTATACCTTCGAAGTCGCATTAATTGGCAGATGTAACACTGTTGTGGATCACAACTAACCAACCAATGAGAGCTGCGTAAGCTTTATATGTGTGCGCTGCGGTTGTCCATAATCACATCCGCATTGCGCCCTGTCATCCGCGTATAAAACTCTCTCAGCCAGTAGATGAAGATTACTTGAGTCATAAAGCTAACGGGTTGCTACGGTACTTGCATCCGAAGCTGTTTTGGTTGATTTTTCAAACAACGAGTATTTCGCGTTTACCAATGAAAAAGTGGTAGCTTGTCTGACCCATCAGCACTGAAGCACGCAATCAGCGTGAGTCGCTCCTTGTTCTGTTTTTTCGTCCTCCAATCTGCTTTGTGGTCGATGTATTACCGCCGGTTGGGTTGTCATATATTGGTGAAGGCATGTCGATGGTACGGAAGTGGGAATGTCAAGCTAAACGTATCTCCTTTTGTACAAACATTCCATTTGATTCCATGTCGTAGATGTCACGTAGCTAATGTTGACCCAGAATCGATCGAACCTGCGTCAAGCTCGCTTTAACCATAGCCGTGTTGACCGAACCAGATTCATCAAAACAGCGGTTGAACTTTATGCCGTGGTGGTTTCGAAATCATCTATCTACTTATCAAAGAGCTAAAATCTTCGCCGTCAGGGTAGAGCTCAGCAAGCAAGTACGCAGTAATGTATTTGGTGAGGTCACCTGACATATTGACTTGGTCCTGGTCTGTGAGGGACCATTTTTTAGAAGCTGTTTCCATCAGTGGGTACTCTACGGTCCTCTTCCTCTTTGCAGCTAATTCACATCCTTCTTCTTGGCAAAGACTCAGCCGATCGTTTGAGAGTCAAACAAATTGTTACCTGAGTGAAAAAATGAGTCTGTTATAGCCACTTGATTAAGTCTGCTTGCGTAAGAAATTTATTCCATCTCGTGTGCTTACAGAGATCAAACCAAAATTCTTATATCATGTTTGCCGTGGTCAACCTCTTTGAAGCCATCATAGTTGTGGTTCTAGTTGTGGCTGCAAAAATGGTCTTGGATGCTGCTATATCGATTAAACGCCACGGCTCGAAAAATGTAAGTTTGTTTGATCAGGTCTGCAAGCGCAAGCGGGAAAAATAGAAGGGTCGGTGTTTGGGATTTATGTTTCATGTCGAAAAACAAGATCGGGGGCTCTTACAGGTTAATTTATATTTTGGGCGCCCAGGACTTTGGTAGAGGTTTATGTCGCGCAGTCCTTCAGATCACCCGTGGTGAACTGCGAGTACTGTGGCTCAGTTTGAACTCCTTACAGGACCCGCACACCTCATCACACTATGGGGCTTTTCGGCCAGTAGGGCCCCCAGCCCACCTAACTATCACATACCGTGGTTGCTCGTCTACTATATTGGCCTATCTCCGGCGCCTTGTGATTGAACCTCCCCACCAGGGTATTGATTCAGGTACCTCCCGGTTCCAATTCCAGTGGTCTACCACCCAGGACTTTGGTAGAGCGCGACCACTGATGTGCATGGTGCGGCTGGTGATATGGAAAGGCGCAAGTACTTGTCGGAAAGGACATGTACACGCAGAAGAGATTAAAGGTACTGAATCTTGAAGACAGCCAGAAACACTGCCTTCTACATTTTCTTATTGACTTGTATATCAAAACGCATCAACACAGGGACTTTGCCTGTAT